TAACGACTATGTAACAAACTATATAACAATGTAACTATCTAACGACTATGTAACAAACTATATAACAATGTAACTATCTAACGACTATGTAACAAACTATATAACAATGTAACAGTGTACCAACTATGTAACAAACTATATAACAATGTAACTATCTAACGACTATGTAACAAACTATCGACATATTTCAATAGTGGACGTCCAATACCAAGACACTGATGATAAATTTTAGAATATTGATAGCAATCGCTGATGAAGCTGTGAACTATTATTATTGACAGTTTTAATAGTATCTATTTAGCTGATGAACACACTTAATGATGATCGTTTGCAATTAAAAATGCAAAATGTTAATTTTGTTACCGATATTTTTTAAATATAAATATAAATATAATTAAATTTTATGGTCAATAAAACAAAATATAATAACACAATAACATTTGTGTTTTGACTTTCTTTATGTTTACGGCGTAACACTATTAAGAAATAACTTCTTTTTATAGTCGTACCCACATATCAAGTTACGAATTTAAGTATTCGGCAATACCACTGCAATACTGACGCAACAGTCGTCAGCAATCTCGATAGCACAGCAATTGCGAGAGTATTGCACAGGTCAAAGGTTATGCCGATAGTCTCCCTCGTTACCTGGAAGCCACGTGCCCAGTACTCGTCTTTGATGAAGCTGACGAGGGTGTTGTAGATGTGTGCGCCGCGGGGCATGAAGAAACACGAGCCGGGACTCAACTCGTGGAAGAAGAACAACTCCTGCTCCTGAACGCGTAAACACGTAAACAACGATGAGAGGTTTTTCGCGGTGAAGCGATGCGCGCAAGTGCGATTCAGAGTCTTCGAGGAGAAACTTACATTGGCTCACTACTAGTGCATATTCTCTTGTCACGACTCACCGAAATAGATTACTTCAATTCAAATTACTTTATTTACACTTATTAATTACATTTTAGAGGAAACATATTAGTTAAACAAGTTCCGGTATAAGTTACAATTAGAAGTTTATCGATTGAAATATAGTAAATATAATATTTCATCCTGTGCATTTGCCTTTTGTACTCACTCTGGCAATCTTTCTGTGATCTCGCTTTGCTGCCTCTTCCTGAAACTTGTGCCATTCTTTCAACTGCTTCGTATCAGGAAAGGAAATGCCATAGATACGCTGCAATGACTCTGCCTCTGCCTTGCCTTCCCAGTAGGTGGACGAGTTCTAGAGAAAACACAAGAGCATATGTTAATGTAGATGCTGACAGGTGACATCACTAGCTTGGCAATCTTGGCTTATAACATTAGAAAACGAAACAGTAGGGAAGGTAGAGAAAATAGGATTGATACAAAACACAATTATAGGTGGGTATATAACAATGTGGGGACAGGTGCTGCAGGCTGCCCAGGACAGATCCCGCTGGAGGGATAACTATTCGTACGACCTTGTGTCCCATCGGGGGAACCAAGCGGAGAAGTAAGTAAAGTATATATCAACTTGAAAAACCTCGTGATTTATACCCATCTATTTGTCCAATAAGAGAATGTCACCAAACTCTGGATTAGTGGCAAAAATACGCCACGAAGTCCACAATACAAACAAAATACTTTGGAAAAAAATCCAACGTGATAGCTTCACCTCACGCATGCACGCACGCACGCACGAAGACGTACCTACCTTGGTGACAGCGAATGCCTTCACCTTGCCCGTGTGGCGCACGTGAGGGCCAAGACAAAGGTCGATGAGCGGCCCGCACCTATATGCGGTCGTCGTGGGCGTGTTCACCTTCTCATCCAATATCCTCATCTTGAAGGGATTATACTGAAACAAGAGAGAGAGAGAGAGAGACGACTCGTGATCACATTGTGCATCTTGGCATGGCCTGAGTAAGGCACGTATCAGTGACTGTTTTCTTGACAATCGTTATGCAATTTTCACAATGAGAGATGGAAGACGTAGACATACACTACACTAGATGAAAGGAAGCACATGATTTCAGACAGACACTAAATCCTGCTTGTACGTGTTTGAGCAGCAAAGAAGAATTTTTAATGCCCTCAAAAATACCAAATACATCTTACGCTGTAAGTATGAGCCTTTCATTTACACTATTGTATATTTATGTAAATTGTATAAATTATGCTATATTATATATAATAAAATAAAATCTCTCTCATTCTATACCTTAAACATCTCTAGCAAATCTTCCTTCTTGATTTCCAATCTCTCAAACTGCTGTTTCTCTTTAACAACATTTTTCACAACTGATTCTAACCCTTTGAAATCGTCACTTGATACGCTCCTACAAAATAAACAATTCCAATCAATTTCAATAGAGGTTCACCAGCACCCCTAGATAACACATATACCAACTCTGCAAAACAAATATAGTACGTAACATTACGAAACCATTGATGAAGTTATGGCCTGATTTGATCATTAGCTATAATTATTGATGATAAAAACAAACCTATCATCCATGAACATGTCATAATAGAAGCCATTTTCAAGTGGCGGTCCATAGCACAGACACCCACCATACACTCTCTCCATCGCTTCACCTAACATGTGGGCGCTGGAATGCCAGAACACTTGCTTTGCTGTAATGAAAAAAAATATAAAATAAGCACACATGCACATACGAGATACGTGTACGATCACGAACCGGTGAATACCATCATAAACCTAGCCGAGCCTCATACGACAACAACGAATATCGTGACATAGACTGACATACCCACGCATGCACGTAATGATCATGCTCGATCTACACTTTTATTTAACATATATCCACAAATTCACTTGGTACTGCCGATGTGAAACGAGCTGTAAGGCAGCAATGAGGAAAGTTACCGATTCAATATCAGGAGTTGCTGCAGAAATTGAGCAGTGATTTTATTATCATCCTCTCACCTTCATCATCTTCAAACTTTAAGAGCTCAAGCGAGCAGTTTCCTTCCAGAGGCCGGTCCAAGTCCCACAATGTTCCATTGACTTTGGCTATGACAGTTGCATCAGCAAGGCCTTTGCTGCAATTTGTCAATTCAGATGATTAAGCTACAGTTGTACTGAGGACATAGCAAAATATATAAATGTCTGTGAGTGATTGGTCTTTAGAAGGCTTTCTAAAATCATGTAAAGATGAAATCTCCAAATTTTGCATAAAACCTATACATGCCACTTATATCAATTTAAAGATGTGGAATGCTTTTCAAAATGATCTGGAGATAGAACCTCCAAACTTTACATAAAATCTATATAACCAATTATATCAATTTAAAGATGTAAAAAACAGATTTCGGTATGTCTACTTTACCTTATTCCACTAGCCACCTCATAGGGAGTTGTACGCCATGACTGCGCTTCCACAACCTTGCCATCAGGCAGCGTTACCTGAACAGCCTCAGGAACTTTAGCTGCCACAGATTCTTCGTACTCTGCTTTCAAGCGATCCCAAAGTTTTATTCGCTCGTTAATGTAGTCTGGCCATGGGCTCATCTGAAACAAACGGCATTAATGCGTAATAATCGTGCCTCAATCAGGCGATTTCCCAATATTTACGAGCATTTCTAAAAATAATCTAAAAATATTCAAATGGATGGAAGGGTAACTCTAGTCTGAAGTGCAGAAATTGATCACATGATCATCTGACTGACTATTCATGCACTAGCTCCATCATAAAATGTAGGATTCAATTAGAGCAAAGTGTCAATACATACATATGTGCAAAGGTTTGTGCATTGCAACAGGGTTCATCGCCCTATTTTTAATGGCTGTACCCGAGATTATCGTTTCATCATACTCGTGGGAAAAGGTGAAAATACAGATTAACATCGGGAGTGGGGGTGGGGGGAGGTTACCATAGGTCTGCAGGAAAAACCGGTCTAGATTGACTCTGATATCTCACCCCCACCCCTCCCGAGGGCCAGGAGGATATGAAAACTGTGTATGAAACTTCAGTCAGTTCATAAGGAGCAAGGTAAAGTAATAGACCAGCTAGCAGCAGAAGAAAAGTTAAGGAAAGACCAAGAAAAACAGATATTTACCTAGGCATAAGAACAATAGATCGAGTCCCTAGACTCCCTACCTAAGAATTTCTTGATGCTTGTTTCAACCTAGTACTTCCCTCGACAACATAGGTTTAAACATTTGAATCTGTTGCAAGACATTTATTTTGATATAATAATAATGTCAATATATATACTACTAACAATAACTATATTTATATACCTCTAGCAATCAGGTATAAAATCAGACAAAGATTGCCAGCCCAACCACAATCAGCTAGGGTGACAGCGTTATCAGCAGTTATATTATTGGCATATATACAACTACATGTTATGTTACCATCCTACTGAAACTCATGTGAGGAACGTTGTAGATTTTTATCAGTGACGTATTGCTAGTTATACTCGTATCACTACACCATATTCTTATGGCAGCAACTATTCCATCAATTAATGTTGTCTAATATTATGTGTGTATATATCCTCGGTAGTTATCCAATTTTATAAATTCAGAATTTTATTGTAAAAATATGCTATGTATTGTATATGATGGATAATTGCCTAAATAAATAAAAAAATAAAAAAAATAAATAATATAACCCATAATCTAAAATAATGGCAACTGTGTAACAGATGCACTATTACTAGACGTAAACTTACTTCTTTTGCCCCGGCACTAACTGGTTTCTCTTTTTGTTTCTTCTGATGCATACTCTGCAAATATGTGCAAGCATTAACCAGCTGATCTCAACATGTGTAATGCAAATAAAAGACCAAAACATTATTATTGCTGATATATAATTGATATTATTTGTGAAAACTACTCAATTCCTTACATACTACTTTCTAGATACAATAATGCAACCCAACAAGAGTAAGGAAATATTACCACCCACTACTATTGTTTGGTTACATTATTGTATATTTTGTACTAACTACCTTCATCTAATATTAATATATAATCAGTTGGTTGGTTAAAGGCTGCACACGTGCCAAACAGCAGCTCACAGTACCTATCTGAGCACAGCCATCAACACAAGCTACATCATCAGATCATGATCAGAGTATAAAAGAACAGACTATTACCGTTACCCGTTAATAAAAGGTTGGGCATATATTACATGTGTAACAATGTCCATATAATTCGATGCCGCAGTATGAATGATAATAATAAATTGTCTAATCAGAGTCAAGCAGAGAATCGAGGAAGAGTACCTAACTGCTCCCAAAAATTAACATAATAATCAATATATGGCAATAAACCATACTACTACTAGTACGGAGTAGTAGTAGTAGTAGTA